CTTCAGCGAGGCGGGTGTGGGGCGGGGAGGGGCCGCAGCGACGGACACGGTGTTGGGTAGGAAATCCACCATAAGTTTATTAAAGAAGAGCAAGGCTAGTTCGAATTAAAGTGCGGACCTCACAAAGAGAACCTGATTGCGTATCCCAAGGAAACAAAGTGTCCGCCAAATTCTGGAGAGCGTGTGTCGGCAGAACTGCTTTATGCTTCCATTACAGTTTCAGTTACGCTGATTTACTGATAGGACAGTGTGTCCTGAGCAACATACCGTAACGGGTGAGATCCTGGTCCCACTGAAGCTGGCAGCAGAACTTCAGAGGAAACAGATTTCATCAATCACAATTGTAAACCATGGGAGACAAGCATACTAGTAATAAATGTAATTTTAATACTAGGCACGTGTTCAGTAAGACACTGATTAGAAGTATGCCTTGGGATAGTGCATTTTGCTAATAGCAAACGAGCTTAGCTCCCGGCTAATGCTGGTGCAGGAGCCGTAGCAGTAGCGGTGCAATGGGCACACCACTGCTAACAAGGTGCCAGAGCAATGGGTGCTGCACCAACAGAAGGTGGCTGTGGCAGCTCCAAGAGAGTTTGCCGCAAGACGTGGAACTGCTCCTGAACTCAAAAATCGGCCATGGTCTTTATGTGACCACATTTATTGTGCCTGCTTGCAGATGTCAGCATCATTCTTGAAATTAAACTTGCAGATAGATCAGATATCACAGGCTAGACTAAATACTTGAGAAAAGGAGACAAGATAGTATCAGTTTTATGAACTTAGTTCAATTTCCATTCCTTCCCGAGGGAAAATGCATTGTTTTTCAGCAGTTTTTAGACTGTTGGTCTAATCTGGGGTGCATTGCCTCATACACTTCGCTACAGAACTCTAGGTATTTGCAATCAGTTTGAACAGAGTTCAGTATTTCTTTGCTCTGAGCTTGTTTGGCTTCTTCAATGAATAAACTTCAATTCAGCCCCCAAAATTTCAGTCCCGTGGAGTATTATTTTTTGCTTTGCAACCTCCGTATTGAACTTGCATTTGATTACAATAGACTAAAATCAATACTCTGACATTATTATAGCATCTTTTCTTCTGTCCCATGAAGGACTGCTTATCAGATGTTTACATTAGCCTTATTTTATGCCATGATGACCAGGCACAGTG